TGGAGCATGCATGCAACATATATATATGTAATATGCACCAACAATAGTTTAGAAGTACTATTCCATAGCCATAAATCATATTCTTCATATTCTTATTCGTTACATTATTGGCTTTTTATATGTGATATGTTGGCTTTTCACTAGACGTTGAAAATGTGATATGTTATCTATTTTTTAGGTTACTTGCATGCTAGATGGAAAAATTTATCATCCACCCGACAAAAACTTCCGAAAGCACTTGCAAGTCCTCTGCTGAAACAGAAAGTGTCTCTATGCCTAAAGGGCTCATTACCTTATCCACTCCCACACCCAGCCCTACCCCTATACCTAATTTGGGCACTAAAATTGAAAACGAAAAAGAGGAGGAAGACAATAAGAAGGGGAAGAATTCACAAAAAAAGTCTCCTGTTTGGAATCATTTCAAAATCATAGAGGGTGGGGATCCAAATGAGCTTAGGTATAAGTGTATTTATTGTGGGGCAACATATGCGTGTGATAGTAGGAGACACGGTGCCAGTAGTATGAAGGTTCACATAGAAAAGCAATGCAAGAAATACCCATATATGAACCAAGACAAAAGGCAAAAAATTCTGAATTTCCAAACAAATACTGAAACTGGGAGTAGTCTTGTTGCTATAGGCTTTAACAATGAGCATTGCAGAAAAGCGTTAGCAAAAATGGTGATTGTAGATGAGCTTTCATTTAGGTTTGTTGAAGGTGAAGGATTTAAGAATTTTTGTCAAGTGATGCAGCCTAGGTTCTCTATCCCCTCCCGTGTTACGATTGCTAAGGACATTTACCAACTTTTCTTGGAAGAGAGGAAGAAACTAATGGCTGAATTTAGTAAGGGCAGTCAAAAGATTTGCCTAACAACTGATTGTTAGACATCCGTGCAAAATATTAATTATTTGTGTCTAATTGCACACTACGTTGATAGTGAGTGGACTTTGCAAAAAAGGATTATAAACTTTTGTCAAATTTCAAGTCACAAGGGAGAGAGTGTTGGTAAAGTCATTGAGTCATGTTTGCATGCTTGGGGTATTGAGAGAGTCTTCACTATGACTATTGATAATGCCTCCTCAAATGACTCCATGATTACCTACTTGAGAAGGAAGATTAAGGGGTGAAAAGGGGTTGTTTTAGGTGGGGAATTTCTTCATGTTAGGTGTTGTGCCCATATAGTGAACCTGATTGTCAATGACGGTTTAAAAGACCTACATGATTCCATAGCTGCCGTTCGTAATGCTCAGGAGGTATGTGAGGTCTTTTCCGGCTAGGTTGCTGAAATTCAAGTCATGTGTGGAGCGAGAGAAAATTGAATACAAAGGTCTCGTATGCTTAGATGTCCCTACTAGATGGAACTCCACCTATATGATGTTAGATGCAGCCATTAAGTTTCAAAAAGCTAATGCAAGAAATACCCATATAGGAACCAAGACAAAAAGCAAAAAACTCTGAGTTTCCAAACAAACGCTGAAACTGGGAGTAGTCTTGTTGCTATAGGCTTGATGATTAGGAGAATGTTAAGGTGTTTGTGAAATTTCTAAAGACTTTTTATGATATAACTTTGAAATTTAGTGCCACTTTGAATGTCACTTCAAATTCTTACTTTCATAAGCTGTGTGAGATGCAAAATCAACTATCTGAATTAAGCAAACAAGAAAATTCAATGCTTTCATCCATGGCTGTGAGTATGAAAAAAAAGTATGACAAGTATTGGGGGAGTGTTGAGAATATAAATTGTCTTCTCTTTGTGGCTGTTGTACTTGATCCTAGGTACAAAATGGATTATTTGACATATTGTTTCTCTATAGTGTATGATTCTTCCATTTCTGAAACATTAGCAAAGAATGTGAA